AAACAGGGCTAGAACTCCTGAACCATGAGAGCATGACCTGAGCCAAAGTCGGATGCTTTATCGACTGAACTACCCAAGCGCCCCCAAGAATCTGCATTTTAACAAGATCTTATATAAAGTTTAAATAGTGCTGTTCTGGTTGCTGAGGAGAAAACAGCTTTAGTGAACAGTGAACATGAAAAGAAAAGGAGGAGGAATGAATCAAAGATGACTATGCTTTATGAGGATGGAAGATAGGATCTGGTCTGATCATAGCATTAGATTTACAGAAGAATGTGGTTCACCCTCAATATCAGTGGTTCCCACACTTATTTTGCACTAGAATCACCTGAAGAGTTTTTAAAACGTTTATTTATTTTTGAGAGAGAGCGTGAGTGGGGGAGGGACAAAGAGAGGGTGGGGACAGAGGATCCCAGTCAGCCAGAAAGCTGGGCTTAAACTTATGACCATGAGATTATGACCTGAGCCAAAGTTGGATGCTCAACCGAATGAGCCACCCAGGTGCCCCACACCTGAGAAGCTTTTAAAAAAGAAGTGTCCAAAACACTTCCCAAAATTACACTGTAATTTAAATTAAAATTTGAAGAAAAAAAGGTGTCCAGTCCCTTGATTAAATGCTGATTCTAGTGCTGGAGCATTGTATAGTGCCAGAAAATAAAGCACTCAAAATACAAAAGGATATGGGTAGGTTGAAGGGGCACTAGAAGCAACCTTTAAGAGTTCCCAATGTCCAAATCTGGAAATTTTTGAGCTATAAAATAACTTACTATTAGGTTATAGGCCAATATATAAAATAAATATCCATGAATCCATACTGATATCAGTGATCAAGTAGATAAATACAGAGAAGAGGCAAATCTCCCAAAGAGAAATCCCCAAAACATATGTACAGATCCTTCTCTCTCCAGGAGGCAGAGCCTATTTTGTCTCCCCTCCTTGAGTGTGAGCTGGACTGCATGACTTGCAAAAAACAGAGCATTGAAAGGGGAAAATAGTAGCTTTGCAGTGAAGAGCCTGGTGAACACTAGCCAGGTGATCAAAGTTAATGTAACTAGGGTTGAGTCATGTTGATCTTGAGTCATCCCAAAACCCCAGTCTAACTGTGAGAAAAACATTGGGCAAGCCCAAATTGAGGATGACATTCCACAAAATAACGGACCAATTCTCCTTATATTTGTCAAGATCATGAAAAACAAGGAGAGACTGAGAAATTGTCACAAACCAGAGGAGGCTAAGGACATATGATGATTAAACACAATGAGGAATCCTAGATTGGATTTTGGAATAGAAAAAGAACATTAATGGTAAAATTAGTGAAATCTGAATTAAGAATAAATAAGGAAATCTGAATAAACCTGTAGTTAACAGTAATGTGCCAATGTTAATTTCTTAGTTTTTAAAACTAATTTTAACAGTAGAGGATTGAGCAACAGGTACACAGGAACTCTCTATACTGTCTTCACAATTTTTCTATAAACATAAAATTATTCCAAAATACAATGTTTATTACAAAACAATAGATGCCCAGGTGTCACCTCTGAGATTGATTTGTCTGGGTGAGTAGGGAAGGTGGTATGGTATTTTTTAAGTTTCCCACAGACAATTCTGATGTTTGGCCAGAGTAGAGAATCATTACTCTATACTAGTGGTTCTCAAACTTGAGTGTGCATCAGAATCCTCTGGGAGGCTTGCTAAAACACAGATTACTGGGCATTACCCTCCCTCCCCTCAGTTTCTGATTCCCTAGTTCTGGGGTGGGGCCTAAAGATTTGCACCTCTTACAAGTTCTCAGGTGATACTTATTTTGCTGGTGTCCAGCAAAGTGGGGTCCACACTTAAACCACCGCTCTATACCAAAATCCTAAGGTGTTTTCCCCAAAACACTGTGAAAAGTAGTAGCATGATATAAAGCAGTGTGATATAGTGGGAAAAGCACTCAAGAGCCTTGGATTCTAGTCCTTAATATGTCATCATATAGGACCTGAATGAATCACTTCATTTCTCTCACTTGAAAAATAGACTGTTTTAATGACCATTATATCAGAAAGTCTGTATCTGTTTCAAGTTTTCAGATTACCATCTAGTTTGTTATCTCAGATCTGATGAACAAATATATGAAGTCTAACCCAACATTTCTAAAACATTACTGGAGAATTTTGCTCTAGAATAAAAGTTATGATTATAAAGAAATGACTATTTTAATCAACAAGCCAGAGCTAATACATCCAAATTAGTAACATCCCCATTCCAAGTCATCACCATACACCTAATCCAGTAATCCTGTCACTGCCCAAAATATTTCTAGAACTCTTTTCTTTAATATACATTAAAGCCAGTTTTTACCACATGAGAAAACCAGTCTTATTACTTTTAAAATCATACTTTATTGACCAAATGTAGCAATTTCCAGGTTTCTCATGCACATTAACCACCAGACAGCTTCCCAAATGTCCCTTGGTTATTGCCAAAAACCAAAATTGCCCTAAAAGGACAGAATCTTAGCCATTAAGGGGAAGAAAAGTCATCTGAGAACTTAATAAAAGATATGGAGCCCTCCTCAGAAAAATACATTGGCATGTAAAAAAGAATCACCAGCAATTTTTTATTTTTTTTAATGTTTACTTGTTTTTGAGAGAGACAGAGACAGAATGCAAGTGGGTTAGGGGCAGAGAGACAGAGAGACACAGAATCAGAAGCAGGCTCCAGGCTCCGAGCTGTCAGCAAAGAGCTCGACGTGGGGCTCAAACTCACAAACTGGGAGATCATGACCTGAGCTGAAGTTGGATGCTTAATCGACTGAGCCACCCAGGCGCCCCAGAATTGCCAGCAATTTTAATCCTGACTCCAATTTAGGAACTCCCAATCTAGGGAGATAAAGATTGACCAGTATCAAGAAAATCCAAATGTTAAGAAAAAACTTGGAAGGAATCATTTGAAGGCAACTACTATAAAGAAAACAAATGCACAATAGGAAAAGCACTCCACTTTTCCAGTGTGAATAAGGCACCTCAAGGTATGGATTCTGATTTGGCCATGTCACTAACCAGTTTGGGCAAAGAAGTCACGTTCCATTTAGTGTAAATTTTATTTGCAAAAATACAGGCAAGAGAAAAAGGGATTAAGCTGCATCGCAATGGTTCTCCATGGGTTCATAAAACCAGCAGCATCAGCATCACTTAGGGACTTATTAAAAATGCAAATCCTCAGGTCCCACCCCATACCTACTGAATCAGAAACTGAGGAGTGGGGGCTGGCCACCTGTGTTTAAAACAAGTCCTGCAGGGGATTCTGATGCCCAATCAAGTTTAAGAACCACCAAGCTAAATAAATGATCTCCAAAGTCCCTTCAAGCTCTGAAATTCTACAATTTGGGAAGTCTAAGTTTCAGTAAGTTAAAATGCAAAACCAAAATCAATAGCCTCAGTCACAGCTATTAAAAAGGTTTCCTGAAATGAATTTTGAGGGGGTCAAATAATCTCTATTTTTTCTTATGTCTCCTTGAGTACCCTTGCAAAACTCTTTATAAATAAATAATAGGTATTCAGATCTTTACCATGTGTGCCAATTTGGGCTAAAAAAGATCATTCTTGAACTCAAAGTTAGGTGAGACAGAAAATATCTGTTCAACTCATCTTGAACAATTAATTCCCTCCTTCTTTCCTGCTACCCAAATTATTTCATGCCTTCATTAACAAAGTAGTAAGGAAAACAGCTGGATTTTGTTTTTATCTAAAAGCAACAGATATCTCATCTTAAAATGCGCTCAAGACATACTGTCAACACTGACTCAAGCCATAATAAAAGTAATTTTTCCTTAGTGCTAACAAAATGTAGAATGATTTTTAAATGAAAAAGACTAATGGTTATGGTTTTTATTTCAAGCAAGTAAACTACACATTTGATATCAAGGAATTTTTATTTATGAAGGTATATGGTCATATTTATGTATAAAGTAGGAGTGTCCTTATCTTTTAAACATCTGATACTGAAACATTTAAAAATGAAATTATCACCTGGGGTTAACTTTAGTATCATTGGGAGTTGAAGTAAGGGGAGTTTCTGGGGGTGGAGGTCAAAAGAAACAAGATTGGCATAAGGCAAGAGTGGAAGTAAATATGGGTATGTGGGGATTCATTTTGCTGTCTTACTTGACAATTTTTATAAGACAAATCTGAAAAAAAGGAATATAATGGGATCCTGGTGACCAAATGCATAAACTGGAATGTTAAAAATGTTACTTACCCATTATGAAGGGAAATAACATTGTACCTAAATCTAATATCCATCAATCTATTACTAAGAAACACAGATAATGTAATATAAAAATACCACTTAACCATAAGATTCAGAATGATGGGGAGAGGGTAGAGGATTGTCAGTCCCAAGTAACAGTGGCTCCATTACTCTATTAAGACTCTTACATCACAAGAATAAAGAAACCCTCTAAGCAATTTTTTAAAATGGAGTCTTTAAGAAATCTTATTCAGAGTTCAAGTGAAATGCTCAATATTTGAGAAATTTCTCCACTAAATCACCGAAGTCTCAACTTTGGTAGTAGATTTAATGAAGTAGAAAAGTGAAACACAGCTTACTCTCCCTCCCACACCAATCACCTACAACAGTTAACTGTGTGAAGCAGTTTTGAATCACTGAGTATGGTTCAGTGGTAAAATGATGACAGTGGTCGCTACATAAACCATCAAATCTCTAGACTGTACTGTCCAGCAGAATTTCCCATGATAGTGAAGATGTTCTGTACACTGGAGTTACCAACACAGTAGTCTTTTGCCATACGTGGTTACTGGACACTTGAAGTGTTGCTAATGGGACCAAGGAACTAAATTTTATTTAATTTATTTAAATAGCCACACATGGATAGTGGTTATAATGGACAGTATAGTTCTAAAGTATCTAAGAAAAACACACACACACACACACACACACACACACACACACACGTTTCACTTAATATCTAACTCACATTTATTAAAAATTGAAGATTACAGAAAAGCGTTAGATTTGCTTTATTAAACAAGCTCAATTAACTTACCTTTCACTAACAAATGAAAGTAATATCACAAAAGGGATTTTGAAAACGAGGTGGATTCCAACCTCTGAAATTAAAAACAAAAGAAAAGCAGCTAAGAGATTTTCCAAAGGAGAGCAAACACAGACCTCCCTCTAGTGGCAAGAGATAAAGTTGCTGCTGAAAGTTGAATTGCTTCTGAAACTATGTAAAACTGCTCAGACATTTCTTTCATATAATTATAACCTAAAAATTTTCTAGATTAATATATAAGGAAAATAAATCTGATCTTCTATAAACAAAATTTAGACCTAATTTTCAACTTACTATGAATGCTAATCTCCCTAGAAATCTTATCTCCCCAGAAAAAAAAAAATGATTTGTCAATGACATTTGGGAAATTGGGGCTTTCACAAAACAAGTTTATGGAATCTTAACCGAACTGTAAGCAAAAGAGAGGAGACCTAATTTTCTCTGTTGATAAATGTTCTGGGATGGAATATGTAAAGGAGTAGATTCAGAAGTATAAAGTAGTAAGTAAGCAGCAGTGGGTTTTGTAGAAACCCATGGTACATCAAAAGAAACAATTAAAATACTACAAGAGTTTTCAATAGCCAAAACAACACTGTTCAGTCTGATATTCAGCTTCAAAAGACAGGTCTGCCACATTGCCAGTTTTAATTACAACCATACATACACATTTAGAATTAACTACAGAACCACTACTTTCAAGTACAAGAAGGAACTCAAAATAGAAACAACTTGTGTTACAGCTATTGTTTTTCCCCTACAGCTTCAGGAAAAACAGCTTTTATATACACTGCAGTAAGTACAGAATGTACAGAGACAGTTATATATACAAAAGTGCATTAATATAGTAATACATTTAGCAGAAATACAGGACAAAAATCCTGGTTAACAATCTGAAGTGTTACAGTATTGAAGACTACTTGAAGAATCTCCAAACCAGTCAACTTCCTACTTGCTTTGGTTATGATATTGATGCTACATAACTAACCTTTGAAACTAAAAAAAAAAGTGAAAATTTTAAACATTTGTGAAGTGTTTTACATATATTTGTGTTTAGCTTTTTTAATAGCTTTTGACAACAGTCCAATTAAACTCCCAACACAAAGATTTAGAATGGATAATACTTATACCCAAATTAGAGTACTCAAAGTGGAAATTAAATTGATTCACTACAGGAACAGACATAGTCTGCTTCATTCCTAAAAGCCTCAGCTAGATAACCTAACTCCAAAGTCTAAACTTAAATCCAATTGGTTAGCTACTGTTGAAGAGCAAGCAGCTCCAGAAAACAAGCCATGGCTTCAGGCCACTGTTCCTTAGAACAATCCAGAGTAGGTAAGTGTTAACATGTCATTTATACATATTAATTCTACAACTACCTTTAAAATGCGTACGTATGATTAGAGCAATTCTCTTTTCTACCCATATCCCTCACCACAAAAAAAAGAACACAGATTTCCACAGGTTCCATTGACCACAAAGATGTAACAAACGTGACGATAAAGGAAAAATACTGTATTCTGAAATAAGACAAGAACAAACCAGTTTTTCAGAGTTCAGTATGAATGTCAAATTAAAAATTAACTTAGCATCATGTGATCTAGGATAAAATATTAATAACCTGAATTGAAAATATAAACTGTGAGAGGGGCTCAAAATAATTTTAATATTAGAGAAAATGTGAAAATAAAATTTTAGTGAGTCAACTGAGATCTGCAGCTATAGCATGCAACTTCTGTACTCTATTAATTGCCAGTTAATTAGAGAAATGTTTAGAGTTCCTTCTAAGCCTTTGGAAAAAGTAAATTATTTTCCAAAGAAATGAGAATTAAGCTAAAATTCTAAGGAGCTATGTTCTAGATACTATGCTGACAGAAATGTCTAGGTCTAAATATTTCTCTCACTCACTTAGCATAATTTCTTTGTAAAGATAGAATTTATCTTACTTTGTCAGACTTAAAACGAATCCAAAGTTACCACAGTACATGTGTATACAGATACTTATTTTCTAACTAATAGTCCTTTTAAGGATTAGATTTATCTCTAAGTTTAGACATGTTCAATGTCAGTGTGCTCAATATCAATACTATATTTGAATGCAACTGGGAATTTTCCTATCAACTGTCTCAAACTATATACTGACTTTAAGTAACTCCTCCCATTCTAAGTAAACATTTTCTTGAGCTAAAAAGTAATTTGCTAAAGGGGAGGGGAGTGTTCCAGCTATTACAGAAATGAATGCAAAGAATGCCTAAAGTTATAATGAGAGAATCAAGTTGTTCTATAATCTATGTTCTTGAACTACTTTTGCCTTTAAAATGATCTTCCCAAATACTAAGAATTATCTGGTTTTAAAAAAGCATTCTGGCTTATGACCTTTTTCATGGGAAAAAATGAGAGAATACATTAAGCTATACTTCAGATAACTTTCAGTGTCCCTCAATGACCTAGCTGGGCCAAAAATAATGTTATATAAATGAAATTTAAGACCTGAAAGGTTCTTGTTTTATTACACACTCTATCACCATTGATTAATCAGATTCAATTTAATGTTTTTGCTTACTGATATCCAATAGTATGGACATTTTATAAAACAAATTATAATTTTTAGATTACTTTTGAGATTGAAAAAGCCTGATATTGAGAAAAAGTACAGAGTTAACCTTTAAGGCACATGAGGCTATAAAGTAAGCCATGAACAAAAATCTCTGCTAAAGAATCTGGAAACAAGACTTCTATATTTGTCATATACTAACATTTTTGGCTTAAATATGAAGACATTTCATTAATTTCACAATTTTTAAAGCTCACCAGAATCTGGATACCTTTATACAGAAGTTTCTTGGAATTTCTCCTTTAAGTGGCAATTAGCACTTTTAAGGAGCTAAATAAATGAGATGTCTGTTCAATCTGTAGAGTCATTAAATTACAAGTCAGTTTCTGGGATTAATTCAGCAATATCTGGTCAACCCGAAGGGCTGAGGAAATGGACAAAACTGCCACAGCCTAACAAAAAAGTGAGACAAGTCTCATGAAAAAAAGTGCTATTTTATTGTAAGTTCTTGTTAGGGCAGAATGAATTATCTTTAAATTCCACTAAACGTTATACTACATTGCCTTACTTTGATTCAGTTGCAAAACTATAGAAAAAGATATGTCATTTTGTTTAATTCAAGGTCCATACTTTGAAAAGCTGTGCTGGGGTCTCATAGACTTCTACAAAAACTCTTTTTTTTCTTCCAGTTTTATTGAGGTACAATTAACATACATACAAGGTCTCTAATAAAATGTTTTTGAAAAACTTGAGGGTACTTTATCATGCCCTAAGTTAACAAAGGTTATGTTTAAAGGGGAGACACTTATTTACTCCAGTGTCAATTCTCTACAGATAACACTGACACTAGAGCAAATAAGTCTCACATTTTTATTAATTTGTTAGTTTGGATTTATAAACAGGAAAAATACTGAGTTGGATTTGTCTTAAACTCAGAGATATGTCAGACTGAATAAATTATGACTTAGTCCAGAAAAGAAATAATTCAAACTTGAATTATCTACATGAGACATTAAAACAGAAAAAAAGTACAGTACAGCACATTAACAAAAACAAGAACTTTTTTATCTTTTTATGATGTTTTTCTGGGGGGGGAGGAGATGGAGAGAGATTTTGTAATCTCCCTCTTCCATAACACAAGCAAGCCAAGTTGTTTTATTTTTTTTCCCTTTAATCAGAAGAATTATTTTCAGTCTCCTTCAAACCAACTTTATAGGCAATCTCTAGTTTATAGTAAAGACGTGACATCCAAATTTACGCAAAATCTCATGGCATACTTTACTATAAACATTCAAATCTTTATAAACTTTTAAAACTGGCTTTGTGGTGCTTTGGTAAACTTGTTTAATAGTGACTTAAGTTAAATCTAAGGTAATAAGACTATGTAATTGTTGGGAGAGTGAAAAAAATGGTCGTATTATATCATGACCCTGTTAGGATTTTCTTTTACTGGTCATTGTCAATTGTTTCCAAGTATTTAACAGATAAATGTTGCTCTATGGTCTCCAGAAGTGGCCTACTTTCCTGGGAAGAATAGGTAGAGAACAGACAAGTCATTCTCTGGAATTTTGCTTTTGCTAAGAGCAGGCAGAGAATTCAGCTGCATTTGCTCTTCTCTCCATTTACTCTTCCTAGACTTGGAAGGAAGACACAATGAGGTTGACCCTTTCCACCTTCCTCAAAGTATTCTGGGGTCTATCCCTAAGCTCTTTTTGGGCCCTCTAAACAAGTTAGGAGCATCAAAGAAAGGGTAAGAGGAAAGTCAAAGGGAGTACTCCAACTGAAAACCATATACATATACTTTTATATTTTAGTAAAATTTAAAGTATGAACTTAGTAGTCTTCAAAATCTTAAAACCATACCACAGACCTCAGCAAAGCTGCAATACATCAATTTTTATCCTCAGTTTCAATTCTTTAACCTTCAAGGAACTAGAGTAAAATCAAAATTTCAAAACACATGATTGTAAGCAAAGGTTAAAAGCCTTTATATCAACTGAGAATTAAAAATTTAAGTCATTAATCTTTTTCTTAATGAGCCACTTGATATGATAGTTTAAAAAAGTAAAGATCCTATCACATAACCTCTGACTCTAGAGTTAAAAAAATATTGATTACAGTTCCTCCTACAGAATCATGATTACCTCCCAAAAGCTATCCATAATAAAAATTATGAAAGTCAGAAAGCAGCTTGTCAGTAGTATCAGTTTCCATCTTCTTTAACCCATGTGAATGTTTAGACATGTGGTAAAAGAAAAGAAATAATACTACTTCTAATGTTCATGATAACAAACTCTCCATGAAAACATTTAAAGAAAACCCATGATTTCACATCTAAAATTAGACTTTTATCAATAGCCAACAAGCGAAGGTTTTTTCTATATCTCACTGCTCCATGTATTTCTAGCGATTTATAGAGAAGTTTAGAACTGTAAGGGTTTTCTTTAGTTAACTTTGAACATTAGCTTGTTCACATGCCAGAAGCTGTTATACCAAATATTTAAAAATTAGAGCAGTGCTGGAAAAAAAAGTGACTTTCAAAAAGAACTTAAGAGAGACAGTTTCACAGACTAAAATTTCAGAAAGCCATGGAAAAGCATAATTGGCTGTTTTGCTTAATTGCCTTCTCTATTTGAATATTAATCGATATAGCATCAAGTCTGAAGTTCAGCTACTACTAACATTATTTCCTCAGTAGTCATCACTTACAGAAAGGATTCTGAGTTTACATAAAGTGAAAAACAGAAACAAACCTAACAGGAAAGACATTAGGGCCTATTTTTACACCTTTGAGTTAATAATAAATGAAAATAAAACTAAACCTAATGAAGGCACTATTGTAAACAGCAATCTACACCCCACACCCACAACGTCAAAACAAGATTTCCACTAGGAATTGAGACTTATGCTATGGCCCTTATAAAAAGCAAACTAAAAAATTGTAACATTAGGAAGGAAAACTGAATTATGATCCGGACATATGTACCTATACTGACATAATAAGCTACTTGTCAGCAGTACCTTGAAATCTTCTAAACTGTAAAATTACTAGTTCTTGAAAAAGCCTACTTAGCCACCCTAAAGTCTAAATAGTGAAAACATTTACTAAATTAGTGATTCTTAAAAGTAGAGCGTGCAGAAGAACCTGGTGCTTGTTAAAACACAATGCTGGGCCCCTCACCCAGAGTTTATGATTCACTGCATCTGGGATGGAGCCTGGTAGTATGCCTTTCTAACAACTTCTCAGGTGATGCTGAGGCTGCTGGTCTAGGGACCACCTGCTGAGAACCACTGGCCTAAATTATTAATGGTATATCAGCACAACCCTAACCAAAAGTTTGGTAAAGATGCATGTAAACAAATAAAAGGAGAATACTTTAATGCTTAGAAAGAATGCTGACAAATTCACCCTTATTACATCAAAACATCTACATCTGCTTCATGGTCTTCCTCAGTCACTTTCAAGGACAGCACTTCTTCATTGAGGAAGAGCCCACTGAGCCTCTCCTTCCGAGCCTGCCTCTGCTCTTTCAGCTGCCTCTTGCGTAAGGCCTTCTGCTGTAACTTCCGCTGCTTGGATCGCTTCTGCCAAAATAAAAATTTCTCAATCAGTAAGGTTCAGTTTTGCCATATCCACCCCAGAGTATTTTATGGATCAAATTCTGTATTTTCAGAATTCTTAGAGATGTTCAAATTCCTCTGCAGTATGATCCTGGTTCCAGTAAGTGAGCCACTGGCTTAGACTTGAAAATGATTCTTCAAGATTCTATTTTTATGGTATTTGACCAGTGAATCTTAGGAAAGGTGGACATCTGATCATTTTATCTAGTTACAAATAATCATTTCAAAGCCTTTTTTTTTTTTTACCAAATTAAGGTACATTGGTGTCACTGCGGAGTGAATACACAGTGAACAATACTAAATATAAATGTAGAGAACAATGCCAAAATCTCTAATGCTTATGCTTTTAAGGTGTCTTTCATCTGAAAGCACTAGCAATTTACAACAGCTGGGAAAGAATCCTGTCTTTTCCATTTTAGGCAAATACCATCTTAAAAACCCATTAGAAACCCAGTGGGTACTCTATTCCTTGTCACTGGTGAAGTGATGCAAAAAAGGAATGACCACATATCCAGAGGAATCCCCTGGCAACCAACAAAGCTGGCTATGTTTCTGCTACTTTGGTAAAAGCCAGGGAAGGAATCACTGTGTATCTTCTAGTCACCACTGGGTTCCCAAAGAGTTACAGAGATACTCTTATTATTGTTAAGTTGGCTCCAAACTGTACCCACTGCAAGGAACTGAACTCCCCTCAGTATCACAAAACCATTCCATATGCACTAATACTTCCCTATTTTTTACATGCCCAATAATATTACCAAGAATTTCTCAACTGTGAATAGGCAGAAGTTAGAGAAGGTGTTATTACATTTTTAAAAGATCTAAGAACACACACTCAAGGTTAACAGAACATTTCACACACACACAAAAGACATGCAGAACATTCTTAGGAGCTAATAGACAGCAACATCAGCAACATAGTGAGATCTGCTCAGTAGTGACTTGCAGTCAATGTTGCAATCTTGAGACTCACTCACTATTTCCACCAATTTATCTTACTTAAAAACAGACACAAAAATCAGATAAAATTGAATGTGATATGGTTGTGGGTCAAAACGGTATTTCAAAGTACTCAGCCTAAAGGGCTTTACTCAACAGCAGAGTAGCCTGCTTGTTCAATTAAAGCCAAAGTCCACCGGCATCCAGAGAGCAAGATAATTTTAACTCTTCAAGAAATTTATATGAAGGAGTACTAATATTAATATTGAAAGGTAAAGTTTTGTATTGATTAGACATTTTACTTTTGAATCCCGAATCCGCTCTGCTGCACTTGCAGACAAGTTGCTGTCACTGTGTGCTCGACTCATGTTGGCACTGGAGTTTGAAGCAGAGTTTCCAACACTGGACCCACTGCTGCTTGCAGAACTGACCATGCTGGCACTGCTGCTGCTGGCGCTGGCGCTGGCACCGCTCACTCCACTGGTGCTCGCACAACTAAAGTTGCTTCTCTTCCAGGCCTCTCTTGCAGGCCGTTGGCGAGGGCTATGCTCCTTGATATAGTTTCTGACCTTGCAACACACAGACAAAATCTGGTTAGTGTTCCTTGACATTCTCCCTCAAAATACTGGAGAAAAGAAGAATATTGTACATAAAGTAAAAGATTATCCAAAGTGCTACAGATGTACTCCTCATCAAGGAAATGCAAGTCAAAACTACAAGGAGATGTCACCTCACCCCTGTCAAAACAGCTAAAATCAACAACATAAGAAACAACAAGTGTTGGTGAGGATGTGGAGAAAGGTAAACCCTCCTGTACTCTTTATAGGATTGCAAACTGGTGCAGCCACTATGGAAAACAGTATGGAGGGTCCCCCCAAAATTAAAAATAGAACTGTCCTATGATCCAGCAATTGCAGTACTACGTACTTACCCAAAGAATACAAAACTACTAATTCAAAGGGATACAATGCACCCCAATGTTTACTGCAGCATTGTCTACAACAGCCAAATTATGGAAACAGCCCTAATGTCCACTGACTGATGAATGGATAAAGATGATATGGTATGTGTACACACACACACACACACACACAGAGAGAGAAATATTACTGGGCCATAAAAAAGAATGAAATCTTGCTATGTGCAACATGGATGGAGCTAGAGAGTATTATGCTAAGCAAAACAAGTCAGTCAGAGAAAGACAAATACCATATGATTTTACTCATATGTGGAACTTAAAAAACAAAAATGGGCTAAGGGAAAAAAGAGGCAAACCAAGAAATAGACTCTTAACCATAGAGAACAACCAGATGGCTACCAGAGGGGACTGGGGTGGGGGGATGGGTGAAACAGGTGATGGGGATTAAGGAGTGCACTTGTTATGATGAGCACTGGGTGTTGTATGTAAGTGTTGAATTACTAAATTGTACACCTGAAATTAGTATTTCACCTGAAGTTAATATGTTAGCTAGAATTTAAATAAAAACTTTATAAAAAAAGATTGGATTGGATCCTGGGATAAAACAAGATATTAGTAGAAAAACTGGTGTAACCTGAATACAGTCTGTAGATTATTTAATGATACTGTAACTATGTTCATTTCTTGCTTTTGATGAGTATACCAAAAAAAAAAAAAAAACTTGGAACTAGATGCTTAACAAATAGAAAGTGAAAGATAGTAATTATGAAGAAATAAAATTAACATTTATTGAATAATGATTTATGAACTTGGATTGTAATCCAGGTTGATTTGTTTGACTCTTTCTTGAGTTGTAGGCTCTATAAAGACAACGATCATTTGTTAAAGTGTTTTTTATCCTACAGCTTAATACATGATAGACACTTAATATTGTTAGATAAATAAATAAAAAAGTGCTACAGATGTACATAAGTAGACTATAAGGACAAAAGAAATTTCTCAATGTAGAAACAAGTACCAGAAAAATTGACAATGTCAAAATTCTAGAATATTGATCATGGAGTTATATTTTAAAAACATATAATATAATCAGTCAAAGGAAGGCTACTGGCCTCCAGAATTTAGGATTATAAGAAAATAACATTCAGAGAAATTAACAATAAAATAGATCAGATTAGGCATGTTTTAAAGATCTCCACTTAGTATGATTTAAGTTGCTGAATATATTGAAGATTAGGGTGTTTCCTAAATCTTGGCTAGGGGCCCATGGTACCTGTCTTCAAATGCAAGGCATCAATTTCAACACTAATGAAAAATGAGCTGGAATATAGAAAATAATAATATGTCTGTTGAGAGAAATGAAATAAAAAATTTTTGTAAGTAATGATAAATGCAAAAAAATTCTTTAAAAAATGAAAGTAGAATGTAAGTATTCATTCAGCTATGTACCAGAGAAAAATAGAGCAGTAAAGACTATATTTAGAAGATGCCAGAAATGCATATTTCAGAATAGCAGAAGGAAATTTACGTTTTACCCTAGCCAGGATCAATTACTTCACAGGACTACTCAAATCCCTCAACTCAGATGTTCACTGAAGTATAGACAGCCCTCAATAATCAGTATTCTGATTCTGTCAATCGTTCTTTTTTAAGGTGAATTAGAAGAAGCAAATAGCATAACCACCCCTTAAGTGGTGAAATCAAGTTTCAAAGCCTACACAACTAAACAGCAGTTTCTAGATCCACATGAACCCAGAAAGGTACTGCCAGGTGAGATGTACCTAAAACCTTACAACCATGTGCTCTCAAATACTGCCATCATTTTTTCTAATATTACATTTCACAGCAGTGATCTGGACCTTACTTATTTGTGTATTTTAACATGATTATTCCAGTCTATATGTTATAAAATAACAGTTTTCTTAATACTTGTATAATCTGTATTTTCTTTACATACCTGCTTCAGTTTTTCATCTGTGAGACAGTTAAGTTCAATAATAAATTCACTGTCTGTAGGGGAGATTTGAGCAGAAGGATCAATTATTTTAATAATATCAAGTTGCTCCCGAAGACCCATCTCCGTACTGACTTTACGACTCAAATACTCAATATATTCCACCTATGTGATAAAAAATTATAATAAACAAGATCAATGCCAAAACCTGATATTTTAGTGTGTCATTTATAATGTGTTTCAAATATCAAAAGCACTTAAATATTATATTTGTTCCCTGAAAACAGTTAAAACTCAAATTCAGATTTTACTAAGCAATCCACATTTACCCAGTAACTTTAAATAGGCAATACATTGAATTTCACATATTCTCTATATATATGCTTTCAATTAAGAATGTTAAGATCCTGGGATGCCTGGGTGGTGCAGTCAGCTAAGCATCTGACTCTTGATCTCAGTTCAAGTCTTGATCCTGGGGTCGTTGAGTTCAAGCCCCACACTGGGCTCTGTGCTGGGTGTGAAGCCTACTTTATATAAAGAAATGGCAAGATCCCTACCTGCTCATCATTTGTCATTGCACTCCAAGGAAGTTCGTCTAAATTCTGGTGCTTGTTTTTCTTTTTAGGAAGCAGGCAAGGTGAACTCGGAATACTGGGTATGACATCAGAAAGTACATCACTCCCACTGGCAATGTCACTGCCCGGTAACTATAAAAATAAGAAGGGGGTAGGAAAAGCAAAATTTTTCAAAAATACATTTTAAATATTACAACGCACTTCATACTGATTAAAAATTATTTTTAATGACAAATACAGAATGAGAAGACATTATTTCTGATCCCTCCAATATTACACAAAGCAGCAATATCAACATATTCTTTGTAGATAGTAACTTATTCAATGAAAGATATTTTCCAAAAGTTTAAAATCATAATCAAGACTTGTTAATAATTGCTAATTTAAGAGTCAAGCATCATTAGGGTTTTTAGTTCACAATGTGAATGTAGGCTAGGGCACACACAGCATGATGAATAAGTAACACTGGTCTCCATCTCAGGAGACTTGAGTGATCTGCTACTACCAGGCTCTTTGCCCAACACTATGCTAGACATACTGCCAATATGAAGACAGATAAGCCATGGTCCTTGTGCTCAAGTTAGTATTAATAATCTCAAGGCAATTAAAAGTATTTAAAATATGCTATTAATATGTAACAAAACATTTTAAAGATCAGAAGTATTATAAAAATCAGAAAAAATGTTGAGACAATGTGTAGACAAAGGAGAAAAGCAAGCAAGCCTAATACACAGAAAATTATTTTGAAGTGAGATGAACACCAGAATTATGTGCTATAATTTTATACTGCCTGTTAAAAGTCAGTTAGAATGGATTTAATTTTTTACCAGCTTTACTGAATTATAAGTGATACAAAGAACTGTACATAACTAATATAGACAATTTGAGGACTTTGGACATATGCATATACCCAGGAAACCATCACCACAATCAAGGTAATAGATCCATCACCTTCAAAAGTCAAAATGGATTTAATTTTAAATAAATGTGTTTAGGGGCACCTGGCTGGCTCAGTCAGAGGAGCATGTGACTCTTGATCTTGGGGTCACAAGTTTGAGCCCCATGTTGCATGTAAAGATTACTTAAATAAATAAACTTCTAAAAATAAATAAATAAAGGGATGTATGGGTGGCTTAGTAGGTTGAGCATCTGACTCTGATTTTGGCTCAGGTCATGATCTCAGGATTGTGGGATCAAGCCCCCACACTGGGCTCCATGCTGAGCATGGAGCCTGCTTAAAATTCTTTCTCTCTCTCCCTCTGCCCTTCTCCCAAGCTCACACTTATGTGCTCTCTCTCTCTCTTGCTCTCTCTCTCTAAAATAAGTAAGTTTAAGTCATTCATCAAAAAGATAATTTCTTCTACAAGGAATACGCAGCTTTCAAAGACAATGCTTTCATTTTTACAAGGTACAAAATAACACCTTTTGGTTGTTGCTGTCCTTTGCAATGATATATGAACTCTGGATGATAACTAGGCTTTTGAAGTTACCAAAAGGGAAAAGCTAGTTTAGCCAAGAAGATTACTGCAATCACACACATTTGGCCTCCTACTCACCCATAGCACTCTGTTAAGTACAGAGGACTCAAAGAATTTTTTTGTCATGGTCCTTACACTAAAACTTTATTCTCCACTGGGGAAGAGAATATAATAACACAAACATACAATTATACAAAATATCAAATGACAAATGCTAGGTATGAAATGACAGATCATCAGTGGAAATATCTAGCAGTGAGTTAAAGCTACAAGATTAAAGCTTAGGAGAGCTACAAGAGGGCAGGCATGGGGAGTGAGATGCATAGAATAACCTAATGAAGACACAAATAGGGGTTGAGATCAGTATGCAAAGTGACCATAAAGCTTAGAATGAAATTATCTAAGCTACTACTGTCAAAAAAACACATTTTCATTTTAACAGTTGCTGATGAATCCAAGTACATAAATGACTACCAACAATTTGTATGACTTCCATTAAAAACTCATTAATTGGGATGCTTGGGTGGCTTAGTCAGTTGAACATTCAACTTCGGTTCAGGTCATGATCTCAGTTTGTGAGTTCAAGCCCCATATCAGGCTCTGCACTGACACTGCAGAGCCTGCTTCGGATCCTCTGTCTCCCTCTCTCTCTGCCCCTCCCACCCTCAGGCACGCATGCTCTCTTTCTCTGAAAAATAAACATTAAAAGCCCTCATTAATTAACACTGCTTGACTTGTTCATTCACCTTTAGCCCTGATGTTATCTAGTCAATGTCATGAAAGATTAACTGCTGAATGGACACATGAAGGCCATCTTTCAGCCTTTAATGTCAAAAAAGAAAATGTTTTGGGGCTTCTGGGTGGCCCAATCAGTTAAGTGTCCAACTCTTGATTTTGGCTCAGGTCACGATCCCACAGTTAATTGAGATTGAGTCCCGCGTCAGGCTCTGTGCTGACAGCACAAAGGGATATTCTGTCTCTCTCTCTCTCTCTCTCTCTCTCTCTCTCTCTCTCTCTGTCCCTTCCCCACTGGTAAATGCTGTCTTTCCCTAAATAAGCAAACATTTAAAAAAGAAAATATCTTGCTATTTTCCCTTTGAAAGAGTTCAAATCACAATACTACTACATTAAAGATCTCCCTGGGGTTTCTAAAACAAAAAGAGACAGTCCTTATCATATGAAAGCCTTCCCTTACTTCAAGCTCCTTTGATAAACTATGTAAAGGAACTAACAAAATATGTATACCCTCAAAATTTAAGAAGAATTTTCATCTAAATCTTTAGCGAACTTCTGCTAGGTAGCAGACTATGTTAAACACTTAAATTTGTGCCTTTAGTACTGTTTATGGGTTTTGTTTCCGGGGGGGGGGGCTGTAAAAAAAGACAACTAATGGTTCTTTGGCATTTTTTTTTTTTTTTTGTCAGGGAGAAGTAAACAGATGCCAGAGTTCAAATCCCGGCTATAACTGCTCACTAGCCATGTGATCTTATAGAGGTTAGTTTGCTTCTTAGAGCCCCAGAGTTATGATTAAGGCCACCCATCTCAAAAGACTGCTAAGAAATTCAAATGAGGTAATAAGCCTGGCACACGGCAACACTCCATACACAGATGTGTTTTCCTTTTTCCATTTCTTGCCATGGTTTTGTACCCTTAGAAAAGGACAAGAAGCCATCACAGAATGACACCTGTTGCTAAAGTGGGTGAAGTTTCACAAGGTAGTCTCAGAATGGCAGAATGGGGAAAAGGAGAAGGCATTCAGGTAAGGAGAATAACCTGGTAAATACACAAATTAAAAAAAAAAAAGGATGAGATTAATGAGACCAATATAATTAAAACAGAAAATCAGTGCTAGGGATTTGAAAGCTCAATGGATGAACAAGCTGTTATATGATACAGAGAAGTAGGCCAGTAACATTTTCTACATAGAAGTAACTTGATGTAACTGGTCTTGAGGGAAGATGAGCTAAAAAGCAGTATGGGGATAAATTAGAATGATGAAAGAATGGAATTACACAGGAAGTTCTTATTTGATCTACACTTGGACTAAGATTAACAAAAATGCAAAGAAAATGGGAATAAATAGGGAAAATACAAAACAATTTACAGGACTGTTTTTTTTTAAGATTTTATTTTTAAGTAATCTCTACACCCAATGTGGGGCTCCAACTTACAACCCTGAGATCAAGAGTCGCATGCTCTAACGACTGAGCCAGCCAGGTGCCCCTACAAGGCTCTTTGATAACTGAATGGATAAGAGATGACCATTTGTTGAAACCAGAAGAAAACTGGCCACATTTCAGTCATACAACCAACCCATCCAGGGTATGCACTTGATGACTTCCAACTTTTATAGCAAGAGACCTGAAGCAATGTTACAGATCTTCCACTACAACACCGTCATTTTACAAATAAGGAAAAATGATGTCTAGGGAGGGTCATACGGCTAGTGGCAGTATCCAAAGTAGGACAAAAGTCCAGTGCTTTCAACTATGCCCAACCGTCCTGCCTTGCAGGGAGTTTGAAATGAGAGAAGAATGCAATTTCGGATATGGAGAGTTTGTACTGATAATGAAAGAAGCAAGTACAAATGTCCTTCGAAATGATAATAGTTTTTATTCACTACACCATAAGACATGTCACAGAGTGGAGTCTATTTTTTTCCCATGGAAACACTGTAATTGGAAGTTACATTACTGACCAAGGAATCAGCATCAAATAACAGGTACATTAAATAATAAGGTCATCCAAGTGGAAATGTCAAGTAGTCAATTGGAGATACGGGATTAGAGCTGCAGATGTACATCAGAATTCACTGTGTGGGCTCCTGTATATTTATCAGACCATTCTTTTTCCATTTTATAACTGATAATATATTTCAAGCTAAAAATGTTTAATAATTCTTATTCCATATTTTTCATGGACAACAGCATTTAATATATTTATATTATAATCAGTAATTGTGGCAAGGAGACAGAATTAAATCAAACCTCTGCCAAATTTTCTGCAGTATGCAGCAAAATTTTATGAGTAAGCTCATTTCTGTAACAGTCGATGTGTAATTTCAAATTGTACCTTTAGGTTTCAAGTGTGACAGCTGAATTACTCACTCTAAATTTTCTATGGTTCCTTGCTCAACAGTAAAATAATTTTTCAAGCTCTAAGACTAGTCAAATATATCTTTAATAACAAAAGGACTGCAAGCAAAGAAAACTGTCAGCAAAGCAAAATGCTTTGATTCTACTTGATTCTAAGCTTAAAAATCCTGCCTTATCAAGTAGTTAGTATTTCTTGTCCCAAAGAATCTATGAATCCTTTATATTTACTTTGGTAGTAATTGAGACATCTGTTAAAAAGAAAGATTTAAACAGATATGGTTTTTAATCACAACAAAGGTTAATATGAATTTTTAAATTACAATCAACAATTTCTAGTCTATATTAATCCTAACATATAATTTGTAATCGTCTTCTTGGATAAATTATTGCAATCATCTTCTTGGATAATGTACTGCTAATCATTATGTGGTCCCACAAAGAGCACTTTTTTTTAAAACTGAAGGTTAAATTGGCTTTATTAACCCATTCATGAATCAGGCAGTATCTCATATAGCAAATAAAGAGATTATTCACAAAACTAAACAAACAAAAAGTTTTTTAACTGCAGAGAGAGGGCCTTAAAAAAAGGAATTTATTAACAAGGAATGCATTGTTTGGCAAGGTTGCTGTCCTCCTAAGGAGAGCAAAAGAATTCTATCGGTAAATTTCCTAGTATTGACCAAGACATCCCATATTGACTACTTAAAGGTTACATTCCCAGGACGTTGAAACTGCAGTTAGGTTAGGTATTAAGTCTTGGTTTGCCAGACTTGGCCTAAGTGACACCATATTGGGCATGTAGTTTTCTTTTTCACAGATTTCAACTGATATTTATTAAGTCTGTCTTATGAGTTTGGTGCATTGTATGTCCTGGCAGGCAGCCACAGAGAGCATTTTAAGCCTTTCAGAATAATACTTAAAAACAAATACCCATGGTGACAGAGTACCCGCACTCCAGTTTCAGAAGTCCAATTCAGAAAACACATTACTAAGGCAAGCTTTATTTTTGCTCCAATGTTAGAGTCAGTCATGTACATTAACAGTGAGTGGCTAGGGATAGTTTTCCACTCTACTCATGAAATGAAGAAGTCAGCAATTAAAATTAAAAAACGACTACTGTGTTGCAACATTATGGATGGTAAGAACTTTATTTTTTTAATGTTTATTTATTTTAGACACAGAGAGACAGAGTACAAGCAGGGGAGGGGCAGAGAGAGCCAGAGACAGTCTGAAGCAGGCTCCAGGTTCTGAGCTGTCAGCACAGAGCCCGAGGCGGGGCTCAAACCCACGAACCCACGAACCGTGAGATCATGATATTACCTGAAGTGGGACACTTAATCAACCAAGCCACCCAGGAGACCCTGGATAGTAAGAACTTTAATTCAAATAAAATAATCAGAAAAAATAATTCTCAGAATTATCAGGACTCCATCTGACTATATTTTAAAGAATCCTTGTAGTCTGCTATGTATGTATGTATGTATGTATGTATGTATGTAATTTTTTTTTAATTTTTTTTTCAACGTTTTTATTTATTTTTGGGACAGAGAGAGACAGAGCATGAACGGGGGAGGGGCAGAGAGAGAGGGAGACACAGAATCGGAAACAGGCTCCAGGCTCTGAGCCATCAGCCCAGAGCCCGACGCGGGGCTCGAACTCACGGACCGCGAGATCGTGACCTGGCTGAAGTCGGACGCTCAACCGACTGCGCCACCCAGGCGCCCCATAATTTTTAAAAATATAATTTATTGTCAAATTGGCTTCCATATAACACCCAGTGCTCATCCCAACAAGTGCCCTCCTCAATGCCCATCACCCATTTTTCCCTCTCCCCCACCCCCATCCACCCTCAGTTTCTTCTCTGTATTTAAGAGTCCCTTATGGTTTGCCTCCCTCCCTCTCTGTTTGTAACTATTTTTTCCCCTTCCCCTCCCTCCTGGTCTTCTGTTAAGTTTCTCAAGATCCACATATGAGTGAAAACATGTATCCGTCTTTCTCCGACTGACTTATTTCACTTAGCATAATACCCTCCAGTTCCATCCACGTTGCTGCAAATGGCATGATTTTATTCTTTCTCATTGCCAAGTAGTAGTTTGATTTTAAATACAAAGTGTGCACTTAAAACTGAGGCATAAAATAAAAAGGTACCAACACAAAGATGCTCACTGCTGTGCTATCTAAAACAGAAAAAAATATGAAATGGATATAAATAGGGGAATGGTTTCACAAACTCTGGCATATCTAGCACCAGGAATATTATAAAGTCATTAAAAGAGTTATAATGAAGATCATGAAAAAGTTTATATGCTAAATGAAAAAGTTTATTACAATATTTTATCTAGAAGAGAATACTTCCTAACTCATTCCATGAGGCCAAAGCAACACGAAGGTATCACAAAAAAACTACAGACCCATACCTCTTACGAATGCAGACATAAAAATCCTAAACAAAATACTAACAAATGAAATCCAGCAGCATATTAAAAGGAATATATACCATGACCAATTAGGATTTTTTTCCAGGAATGCAAAGGTGGGTCAACATACAAAAATCAATGTAGTACATCCTACTAATAGAATGAAGGGAAGAAATTGCATGGTCATCTCAATAAATGCAGTAAAAGCATTTTGACAAAATCTAAATACTCTTCCAGATAAAAACACTCAACAAACTAGGAATAGAAGAGAAATTCCTCAATATGATAAAGGGCATATATGAAAAACCTACAGCTACCATTATGCTCCATGGTGAAAGACTGAAAGCTTCTCTCTTAAGATCAGAAAAGACAAGGATGCCAATTCTTGCCACTTCTATTCAACACTGCACTGGTGATCTAGCCAGAGCAATTAGGCAAGAGAAAAAAAAAAAGCTATCCAGATTGGAAATGAAGAAGAAAAACTATCTCTATTTATAGATGATAAATAAGATCTTAAACATAAAAACTCTAAAGAATCCACACAGAGAAGAATAATCATTTAAGCTAAAAAAATTAGTTCAGCAAAGTGGTAGGATACACAATCAATATAAACAGTTTTATTTCTATACACCAGCAATGAACACAAAAATGAAGTTAAAAAGAACAATTCCATTTACAACAGTATCAAAGGAATAAAATATGTAGGAATAAATTGAACCAAAGAAGTACAAGGCTTAGACACTAAAAACTACAACAGATTCGATACAATCCTTATCAAAACTCCAACTGCCCTTTTTGTAGAAATGGATCACTTAATCCTAGAATTCATACGGAATTTCAGAAGGGATCCCCAATAGCCAAAACAGGCTTAATAAAGAAGAACAAAGTAGGAGAACTCATACTTCCCGATTTCAAACCTCACTACAAAGCTAGAGCAATTAAAACTGTGGCACCGGCATAAGGATAGACATATATATATTAATGGAATATAACTGACAGTCCAGAACTAAACCCACATCTATGACCAATTCATTTCCACAAGGGTACAAAGACCATTCAATAAGAAAAAAATATAGTCTTTTCAACAAATGGTGTTGGGACAACTGAATATCTACATGCAAAAGAATGAATTTGGATCCCTATCTTACATCAAAGACCTAAATGTAAAAACTGAAACTCTAAGAAGGAAACAGGTGAAAATCTGCATGACCTTAGATTAAACAATGGTTTTTTAAATATAACATCATAAGCACAGAATCTGAAGAAAAAATAAATTGAACTTCTTTAAAATTAAAAAAATTTTGTGTGTCAAAGGACAGCATCAAGTAAAAAGATAACCCACAGGGGCACCTGAGTGGTTCAGTCAGTTGAGCATGGGACTTTCACTTGGGTCATGGTTGGGGAGTTCAGGCCCCACGTTGGGCTCTGCGCTGACAGCATGGAGCCTGCTTGGGATTCTGTCTCCCTCTCTCTCTCTCTCTCTCTCTCTGCCCCTCCCCGACTTGTCCTTATGTTCTCTCTCTCAAAAATAAATAAACTTTAAAAAATGAAATAAAAATTTAACTTTCAGTGTAGCATTTTTATAACAAGAAAAAACTGAAACCAATCTAAATATCCATTATTAGGGAACAGGTTAAATAAATTATGATATAGGTATCGAAAAGAATGAGATATTAGTTGAAAAAAATCAAAGGGCCAAACAGTGGCCAACATATGATCCCATTTGTGTGTTTTTAACACTGTGCAAACATAATTGGATCTGCACAAACTCTTAACAGTGGTAACCACAGCAGAGTGGGACTTGGAGACTTATTTTTAACTTCATGCCAGCCTGTTTTCATATTTTAATAAGAAAATGTTTAAAATAAAATAATATTTGATTCCTCTTTTAGAACACAACTTCAAAGTTTTGGATGGCTTTCAAACATAGTAGGCATTCAAATATCTGTTGAACATAACATTTGCTATATGCAAGGAAAGCTTCTTCAAATGTTACTGTTTTTTACAATCAGACAATGGATGTTGCAATAACATGATTTACATTTTCTGATAGACTGCATTCATTATACGGCAGAATTTCCAAGCAATTTGTACAAAGCCATTTTACATGGTATATATGCCATAAGAAAAAAAAAACTGTAGGACAAAAAACATCTCTACATATGAAGAGAATACAAAATGAGTAATTGTATTGTGTTGCTGATAACAGAGCCAAAAATTGTTTTTATGATAATAATGGTTTCAGAGCCCAGATATACAGAACATAACCCTGATGCAAAGATATTGTGCCTATAAGGACACGAAGGCTTTTTACTATAGCAGGAAGAATACATTTGCTTGGATTCATGCATAGAAAAGTACTGATTATATATAATAATGGGAACATTATACAAGTATTAAATTACATGAAATCTAAATAAGGATATCTGCAGCATCAGATACCTAAATGGTACATTAGCAAAAATAAAGGATACATATTCCATCTAATTCTTAATGTTGTCAGAGAATTTCCAGGACTGGATAAACACTGGAGAAAATTTACTTTGAGGTAGAGATGAAAATATCAAAATAGAAATTCATTCTTCTATTTATGGAATAATGATGGTAATACAAAGACAAACAAAACCTACCTGCCATTCAAACTCGCTATCTGACCAATCCCAGTATGTGCTAATAGAAGAAGAGACATCACTGCAGACACTTCCCTCGGGGAATAAATCAAAAGAAGTGAAGTCTTGATCATCTAACAGGGAAAAGCAGTCATCTTGATCTCCAACAGAAACTGATGAAAATAGCTCCTCACTGCATTCTGAGCTGGCAACGCTTGTTCCACAAGAAGTTAAGTTCCACCTTAAAAACACAACACAAAAGAAATTACAATAGGAACTACAAAATCCACACAATTTTAAGATATTAATAGGATACATTTATGACATTTATGATGACTGTACTGAAAAGAGCCCAAATGTCCATCGATGGATGAATGGATAAAGATGATGTGGTGTATATATACAATGGAGTATTACTTGGCAATCAAAAAGAATGAAATCTTGCCATTTGCAACTACATGGATGGAACTGGAGGGTATTATTTTAAGTGAAATTAGTCAGAGAAAGACAAAAATCATATGACTTCACTCATATGAGGACTTTAAGACACAGAACAGGTGAACATAAGAGAAGGGTAGCAAAAATAATATAAAAACAAGGAGGGGGACAAAACATAAGAGACTCTTAAACATGGAGAACAAACAGGGTTACTGGAGGGGTTGTGGAAGGGATGGGCTAAATGGGTAAGGGGCACTAAGGAATCTACTCCTGAAATCATTGTTGCACTATATGCTAATTTGGATGTAAATTTAAAGCATAAAAAATAAAATAAAATAAAAAAATAAGAAACCATCCTAAAAAAAAGACTGTATGTATATTTTTAGGTATGACAATGTTATTGTGATTATTTTCAAAAGAGCCCTTCTCTTTTAAGGATGTACACTAAAACATTTATGAATGAAATATATCTGGAATTTGTCTCGAAATTATAAGAAGGGTTTGAGGAATGAGTAGTGGTATGAAGCACACTGTCATAGCAAATAATTGTTGAAGCTGGGTATGAGGTTCATTACACTAGTCCCTTTAATTTTTGTATTTGAAAATTTTTATAATAAAACATTTTAAAAGAAAATTGTATTTAGGGGAGCCTGGGTGGCTCAGTCGGTTAAGAGTTCCACTCTTGTTTTCGGCTCAGGTCATGACCCCAGGGTCCTAGGATCGAGCCCTACATTGGGCTCCACACTGAGCTTCGAGTCTACTTAAGATTCTCTCTCTTCCTCTGCCACTCTCCCTCACTTTCATGCTCTCTCTAAAATAAATAAATATATGTATTTATATTAAAGATTGTATTTAAATTAAGAATACAGTAAAACCTTCATCTATAATCAAAACTTCTAGCATAGTAGTTATGAATACACTTTGAAGTCAGACTGAGTTCAAATTCTTGCTCTATCATTTGATTACTACTACTACTACTTGATCTTAAGCAAAATATACCCTCCTCAAGTCTGTGTTCTCATCTTTAAGAAACAGTTATTAGGAACATTATATAAGAATGCATATGGAACACTTAGCAGACATAAAAAGTGCTCAATACATGGTAGCTATTATTATTTTTTAATTAATTTATTTTGGGAGAGAGAGCACACGCACATCAGTGGGGTAGGGCGAGAGAGAGAGAGAGAGAGAGAGAGAGAGAGAGAGAGAGAATCATATATATGTTAAGTATAGAAAGCAGGATACTATTATATATAACTTGAAAACATTTTTTTTTATTTTTGAATGTTTATTTATTTTTGAGAGGCAGAGCATGAGCAGGGAGGAATACAGAGAGAGGGAGACACAGAACTCAAAACAGGCTCCAGGCTCTGAGCTGTCAGCACAGAGCCCAATGCAGGGCTTAAACTCACAAACTATGAGACCATGACCTGAGTCAAAGTCGGAGGCTTAAACGATTGAGCCACCCAGGCTCCCCTATCTTGAAAACATTTTAATGCCTATATAATATTCCACTGATTAAAAAGTATCACAATTTATTTAATCTTATTCCTTCAGTAATACTTAGGCTGTTTCCATTTGGGGGGTTAACTCTTTTTTGGTTATAACTATTTATCAAAATATTTAATCTCTAAAGATAGATTACTTGAAAGGAAAGTACTGAGTCAAAGAATATGAACATTTCTGAAGGTCATATCATACTTAGCCAAAGACCTTTCTGAAAAGCTGCACCAATTTACAATCCCCAAAGCAGTATACAAAAAGTGCTCATTTCACCACAAACTTAACAGCAGTGGAATTTTCAAAATTTTTACCTATATGATAGAAAAAAAACACATTTTTATATCAATTTTTATTTCTTTAATTACTGGCAAGATCAAATTCTAAATCATTTATTAACTATTTTGCTCTAGTGTTTTTGTATGTGTTAATGTTTTCCTTATTGATTTTATGAGTTCTTAATACATTAGCAACATTAACATTTTGTCTGTGGTATTTATTGCAGGGTTACTTTTTTTTTGTCTCAAAATCTATAAGTCTGCTTTCTTTTGTAAATTTCCACTAGCTTTATACTATTAAGGAGGTAATCTTCATTGTTTTGGCAGTAGCCTAGGGAATTAATCCTTAAGATAATGATTTAGTACATCCGATACCAATAAGATACTGAAATAATTACCTCCTGAAGAAAAGCCTGTTACTTACTTAAGATTGTTTCTCATCCCTCATTAAATCCATTATTTCTTGAATTGTGTTTTTCATTTTTTACCTCCCCACTTTGTACGACTAATCTTAATTTCAAAGTTCTTGATTTACAAAATTTGGGCAATCTGACAATTTTATAGCATCAAAACAGACACAGACACACAGTCTCTAAACTGTTATAGTTCAGTAAATATAAACACAGATGTCATCAAGTTTTTATAAATAGGCAAAAATCTAATTCATCTAACAATCTTAGAATACCCTGTAATATTACATAGATTCATCACATGCCTCCTAGGCAGGCAGTATCCTCATTTTTCAAAAAATCAACAAACCTAGCAGAATTAACCAAGTTAATATAGTTTATAAGGCAATATAAAAGCTATAAAATGGCAATCACAAGATTTTTCCTAGACCTAGTAAACCAGTACCTATACTGTATTCTGGGCAAATTATTTTTTCTTTTGTGTCTTCAAATTGCATGTGACTTTTTAAAACCTTCATTCACCCACTCAACAAACATTTAGCTAGCATCTTCTATGTGCCACGTACTGTGTTATGTGGTAGGAAAAGCTGTTAGGTAATGGTTTTTAATGAGAATTCCTTTTGAGCTTGCAAAAATTCTGCAGAAATTTGTTTCCTTCCATGAGTAATAATGGCTTTCCTTTTTTAAAAAACTATGCTAGATTTAATAATCTAATGTTTGGATCACTGACAAGGCAGTCAGGAATTTGCTTGGTTTTGTGTTCTAACCGTAGGGCAAAATCAGTATGTTTCTCAATTTTCCAGGTCCATGACTTTATAACAGATTTAACAGGATTCTGGGTATTCTTAGAAGCCTTTTCTCTTTTCTCTTGTAATTAACAGTGACAATAAAAGTGGGTTCATACTTGAAACCAATCATTTACAAAACAGAAAATTAGTATTTTTACTACTAGAGATTTTTTAAAAATTCTATTATCTTCTAATTTCCAAATATTATCTTTATTATTACTTTAAGGCAATGTGAACAAAAACAAACTAGATAGTACTTTTTTATCCACTGCTGGTGGGAGTGTTAAATTGGCATAATCTTCCTAAAAAGCAATTTGGTACTGTACATATATCAAAGCTTCAAAGAAGTTCATTCCTTTGGACTCAGTAATTGCCCCTCTAGGAATCTATCACCTCCTCAAATAGAAATTTGGAAAAAAAATGTATGTACAAACATGTCCAAACAATATCATTTATAATAGCCAATAAAGGGAAAAGACATGGTCCCCAAATATGGGGAATAATTAAATAACATATCTAAATAATGGTGTTTTATAATCAATAAATTTATATTTCAGATTATTTTTTAAAAAGGAAAACACTCACAATGTAAGTGCAAAAACCCGGTCACAAATTTTATATAACCTGATCCTGATTTTTAAAAATTACATATGAACATAAAAAGAATATTAAAAGTAACAACATCAAAATGTTGATAGTTGTTTTCTTTACTGAAAGGGATCATAGGTGATCCCTACAGTTTTGCATATGCCAATTTTCTAAAATGAGATTTTATAATAAAAATTTAAGTGTGATTTCAAATATGTAATGAATGACCACTGTGTGCATGTGCTCAGTCAGCACTGAACTATTCAAACCTGCAAAGCCCCTACATCTTATTCCACTAAGAGAAAGCTACCTAATACTAAGATCCTAGCTATAATCATAAAATTATTCACAAAGGAGACTTTCTATCTTAAAAGAAAAATGTTGAAAAGAATCCCAATGAAGTTTATTGGGAGTTTATTAATCCCAATGGATTAATAACAAGGCTTGCTGTCCAAATTTTAATTTAAAAAAAGTAAAGCCAAGTACATTCATCTGCAAGGCTTATCTGCCAAAAACCCCATACTCCTGACCTCTGCTACACCTTTGGAGCAGCACAGGCCATTAAGGTCCCAAGTAAGAGCAGGTGATACAACCCTGCTAGCTACTCTACTCACTCAAATTCCTAACTCTCCTCCTAGCAATCTCAACTGTCGTGGTACCCTCTCCACAGACTCGGAAGCAAAAAACATTCCATGTCATGTCTAAGGTTAATTATTCCATTTGGGCTTCTGAGTTCAACCGATCCATCTCTTGTCATCCCACACTCTCTTGCATTTTCAATTTCTCCCTTTCCTGTGGGCTGCTCCTAAAGAGCTAAAAGCTCTATTCTTGGAAAAGAAAAACTAAACAAAGCAAACAACAACAATGAAGAAACCTTCACCTTTTTTTCAAATTATTATATCTCCTCTCTTTCCCTTCCCTGCTAAATTAATTGAAAACTTCCTTCTTCTTTCAACCTTTGTAACCCACAGTTCTACTCCTAAGACGCTACTGGAATTTCTGTTCTGAATGCTCCCAAATCCACACTTCTGGCCTGGATAGTTCTCCCAAGCCTGATCCCCATTCTCAACTTGTCTCAAGAAGTCCCCAAACTAAATTCCTCCTGCCTCTATAATCTGTTACTTCACGGAGTGTGGTTCTCCCACCTGCAACTTACAGCTGTTTTGCAACTGTTAATTCTATATTGAGATAGGGAAACTGTGGGGAGTACAAAAGGTACACAATAGTATTGGGGTTCTT